ATGAAAGATGAGTCTCTTCGATAAGTTGCGAAACAAAAAATCAGCGGAAGAAAGATAATAATAATAATAAACAGAAGAAAATCAATAGGACTTTCCACAGAAAGGTGGAAAGCCCTAAATAGCGCACAAGCTAAATAACATAGACTTACCTCTTAAATGTCAAAAATATTCCGTATATCGGCACTATGATCTATTTTTGAAAAGTAGGTCAAAGGTCAAGGGTCACGAGGTCAGTAACCATGGTACTTTACAAAAGTCATAGTACCAAGCAGTATATACTGTATATGTGCAAAATATCAAATCCGTACCTCTTACAGTTCTCGAGATAAAGGGTGTGACATACGGACAGACAGACCGGGTAAATTGATCCCTTAGTGCAGCTCTGCTCTGCTGGTGACACAAAAATGTTGTATTGTGATACTTTTCTTAAGACCGATAATACCACCAAAGTGCTTGGACTTCTGATTTCTTTAAAAAAGTTTTGAAATTTACGATGTCAGAAGTTAACGTTGTCAATCTTTCCAAACAGTAAGGTTGCTGTTGTATGGTTGCATTTCGTTGCAAAACTGTAATCAAATCAACAAGAACGTTTTTGTTACAACGTATTTATAATAGCTTTATACGCTCTGTTTATAAATGGAGGTTAATAAAACAAGAAAAAAAGTCCATTCTAACTGTTTTTGAAAATATTATAATACATATTGAAATACATTTAAAGTATCGCAGTATATCGCAATATGAAATTCTCAACCGATACCTAGTCCTATTGTTGAATTATCACAACACCCGTATTGACCAAACATGTCGTGTGTTTATCTGATGATAATCTGATTGGCTATTCATAGGAAACCTCTTTTTTAGATTAATTGATTGATTGATTGTATCTAGTTTTACGTCCCGTTCGAGAATTTTCACCCATAGAGACGTCACAGTATACCGGTGAAGGGCTTCAAATTTAGACCTTTACTCGGCACTCAGGGCCATTGAGCAGTGAGAGTTCTTTATCGTGCCAACGCCTACCGTGACACGCGGCCTCGGTTTTTAAGGTCTCATCCGAATGACCCGCAACTTTCACTTCAAAGTGCCGAGTGCTTGGCAAAGGAACAGTTGTTATCTATTTTTTATCGACTTAGGTCAGTCGCGTACGTGATTCGAGCACACGACCTTCCGACCACGGAGCGAACGCTCTACCGAAAGAGCTACCGTGACAATAACCTCTTATGGAATAAGAACAAAAAAGCGTTGATGTTCGCTTCGTGATAGGGAGGCCGGGTTCGATTCTCGTTCGCTGTGCCGCGTCAAACGTAAAACGTTTTCATAGTTAGTATTCTAACTGTTCTTTCGCCAAGCGCCCTGCAATAGAAATCAGGGTTCTTTCGGTTAAACTTAATAAACCGAGGTCCCGTGCCACGGTAGGCGTTTGTACGATAAAGAAACATTACTGCTCAACGGCCCTAGGCGCCGCGTTTAGGTTTAGGCGTCTTTACTCATCACTACCACGCACCTAGTTTATCTAAAGGGAAGAGAAAACATATGTGATCATTAGAGTCACACTCTTACATCGGAACCCCTAATCTGGGACCAAAAATATCACAATTTAGGAAAAGCCATTATTTCTCATTCCCACGCACCTAGTTTATCTTATATATATATATATATATATATATATATATATATATATATATATATATATATATATATATATATATATATATATATATATATATATATATATATATATATATAGGGAAGAGAGGACATTTTCACAATATGATCATAAGAGACCCACTTTAGAACCTCTGACACTGGGACCATGAATTTTACAATCTTGGTAGAGGGCTCAATGCTTAATGCTTGATGTCCAGGGGTAAAGAGGATTTTTTTTTTTGAAATTGCACTAATTTTGATGGTTTTAGACTCTCCCCTCATGTTCAGGGGAGCAGGGACCATGCAATTAGCAGTTTTGTACCCCTTCTCTCATTAATAGTACAGGCTAAAATTGGTTAAAATTCATTCAACGGTTCAAGAGAAGAAGCTGAAAAAGTTTGAAAGTTTATGATCAATGCACGTTGCACGAAAGACGTTGGAAGACGACAGACAAAAAAAGATAGAAATATATATATAGAGAGAGAGAGAGAAAGCACTACAAAAACCAACAACACTGTATATCCTAACTGTCGGATCTACTAAATAGATACAAGGTCAAGGATGGAAATTTATATAAAGCACTAAAAATGACCAATGACACGAACAATAGAAATTGTCAAATTTTTCGGGACGCCCTGTCCCTTCCTCAGGACAAAGAAAAAAGTTAAGAAGTCATAAAAACAAAGGAAATAGAAAAACAGAAACGGCTAGCACTACTACTAAACTACCAAACACTATTTATTTACAATGTTACATGTTGAATTTGAATTTTATAATCAGTTGTAAAGAAATAAATCCGGACCGCTATGAAATACTCCGGTCTATCGGGTGTACTCTGGTGAAGTGCGATTTACATAATTGAACGAATTAATTATCGCTAATTAATTACTGCCAAGCAGTAAATCATAAACTGTCTTATTCTCTCAAAATAGCTTAACTTTACATAATAAAAAGAAACCAAAGAAAGATCACTTTTCGTCGTTACAACGGCCTCCACGTCCCGCAGTGGATTCGAACCCGCGACGTAAGGATCTACTCCTTACATCGCGACTCTAGAGCGAAGGCTCTAACCACTGCGCCAATGTTGTAAAACTTCCTTTGATATTCAAATCTACATGTCAATATTGAAAGTTCAAATATTGTTAGCTTAAACATTACTTAGCCATAATTTGTTCGCTTATTGAAAAGATCCCTAACAAAAAATGCTACAGTAAACTATAGTTAACTATAGTTTACTATAGTAAATCAAAGTTTCAAAGTTTTACTATAGTAAATCAAAGTTTCAAAGTTTTTACTATAGTTTATCAAAGTTCCAAAGTTTTTACTATAGTAAATCAAAGTTTCAAAGTTTTAACTATAGTAAATCAAAGTTCCAAAGTTTTCACTATAGTAAATCAAAGTTCTAAAGTTTTTACTACAGTTAATCAAAGTTTTCGCAATACAATATTAAAGTTTCAAAGTTTTCACATTAGTTTTTCAACTTATTAAAGTATTTTAATAATTTTATGCTTATTTTGCCGTTTTTTGAGGGGTGGAGTTGGGGTTTGGTGGGGCTGTTGTTCATCTTAGTTTAAGTTTATAAATTACTTAATTTAAATACAATATTTACATTTATAAATTTTAAAAAAAAAAATAGATGTTAACTGAAGTTAATGGAGTATTTTGGTTCTAAATGATTCAAATTTTATTTTATATTTTATTATTTTCCTTTCTCCATAAAAAAAACTTACACTATATTTGCACTAAATTAAATACATTTAAATAAATGCTGCTTATCTATCGGTGCGAGAGACAACCTTACATTAAAATTCATTTCTTGTACATTTTTAGGGAAGGATTTGGGTTTATAAAAAGTTCTCTGAAGCTTTTATGAATTTTGACCATGGAATATCATAAAATGTCATAAATGGGAACCAAAAATATAATTCCATGGGTTTAGCTATAGTAAATCAAATATCAAAGTTTTTACTATAGTAAATCAAAGTATCAAAGTTTTTGCTATAGTAAATTAAAGTTTCAAAGTTTTTACTACAGTTAATCAAAGGTTTTACTATAGTAAAACAAAGTTTCAAAGTTTTTACTATAGTTAAAGTACCAAAGTTTTCACCGTAGTAAATCAAAAGTTTTCGCTATAGTAAATCAAAGTTCAAAAGTTTTTACGACAGTAAATCAAAGTTCAAAAGTTTTTACTATAGTAAATCAAAGTTCAAAAGTTTTTACTTTGATACTATAGGTAACTATAGTAAACTATAGTTAACTATAGTTTTCTATAGTATTTTGTCGTTAGGGCGAAAGCTATGGCCAATCACCGCTGATTTCAACCAAATACACTGTACATGTACATGAATCCAGTGCGCCCACATCACGCAAAGGACTCCTTTTTTGCTATGATTTTCATGACTTAGAAAGCGTTTATAGAATAATTTTATGTGGTGACAGAACTAACTTTCCATAAGACTAGTTTGCAAGAATTTTTTTTCCCTTTGAAAATTATGAATTTGTATACATACATACATGTACATGACTACTACATAGGAAAATTTCATTCTTTCATGATGGTTTCCACTTTTGATATTTCTGTCCTATTTCTAACATACGAGGGTTGATCCGAATGTAATGTCACAGCTGCTTTAAAATATTAAAGAATCAATGTTTTTAACAAAACTTTATATGCTTATACTTCTATCTATTTCGACCTTTGTCTGAAAAAATCATTAAGTTTTACGCAGTATACGTTTTAAAATATTAAAATAAACACAACGTTGGGTCTCGTCTATCAATACACAATATTAAAAGGAAGCACGTGAGATGTTTAAGAAGATATGCGGATGAACCAAAAACAAGTACCGAAAAGTAAAGTCATAACGACGTCGGTGACATTTTTGCCGTGCGGCGACAGACAACTTTGTGTTTATCTTAATATTTTAAAAAAGTGTTTTATGTAACTGAATGCAATTTTAAGGCAAAAATCTAAATAGATAGGGGAATTGGTATGTAAAAATTTGTTGAATAACATTCGATTATTGAACATTTTATAGCAGTCGTGTGACATTACTTTTGGATAAACCTTTGTATCAGTTTCCGATCACCCTGTTCTTGCAAAGAAAAAAAAAATTAGATAATAGAAAACCTTTCATTTCTCACGAACTTAGGGATTGTCTTATCAGTGTGGAAGTCCTCAATTCTTAAAGTACATGTATTTCGAACTATCTTATAGGAACAACTACAGTGCAATATGCATTCTGAAATAACAGTTTTAAAGCTTCTAATTCTATTTGGAACTGTTGTTGTTTTTGGTGACTGCCAAGGTGAGAGAAGGAAGGAGAAGCAATTGAAGAACGACAAATTGGAAGATTGGAAGATTATCTGAAGGAAATTGTAGAGAAAGAAGTAAAAGCTCAGTTAAAAGACATTCAAAAAGTGCAGAAATTGCAAGAGGAAAAGATTCGATCGATGGAAGTCCAAATTCAGAGAGAAAGATTATACAGGCTTTATTTAGAGAAGAACATAATTGCTCTAAAAGAAAAGCATGATGTCCAAGTCTCCAAAGACGTTGCTGGGGCTCATGAAATGGCAAGGCATTTTTCTGGTTCTGACAGCACTAACCACATGAATGAAAACCACGAAGGAGATGATGAGGCACCAAACCAACAAGACAGTTCTAGCAAAATAATAAGGCTCATAGGTTAGCCAAACCAGACTTTGTTTTTTGTTCTAAAGATGTAGTGTACAACTTTTAAGAAAATTAGCAAATAATACATTCTTCTTTCGGATGCAAATAAAAGAGGGTCGTCTGAGCCTAAAAATCTAAAAATCAATTAATCAATAGATTCAGTATTGTCCGCGCACGATTAGTTGAACGGTCCTGACCAGGAAAACTTTTTCGCTAAGTACGGTTCCAACCTTATCTTGCACAGACATTAATATGCTTTAATGGGGAAATGAAAGTAAGGTTTAAAAAAACTATAAAATATTTCATACTTTATCGTTGCATTTGAAATAAGATCGTAAGCTTTTATTTTGCACTTTTATTTTGTTTATAGGAGGACAGGAGAATAGTGCTCCAAGTACTGTAGCATTTTATGCATACATGAGCAAAAACCTTGACAATCCAAGTGCAGGTCACGTTCTGGTGTTTGATGTTGTTAAGACCAATATTGCTTCCGGCTACAACCATCATGATGGAATATTTACCGCACCTTCCCAAGGCTTTTATGTATTCTCGTGGACTATTCATTCTTGGTATCATTCTTTTGTATATTCAGAAGTAGTGGTCAATTCGGACTCTGTCGGAAGAATTATCACAAATAGTGAGGATATACAAGATGAACATGTTGGAAGTAGTATAGTTGTTGTTGCGTTGAATCCTGGGGATGTGGTGTACATTCGAATACGTGCGGCAAGTGGTAGGCTTGCTAGTTATGCCAGTATATTTTCTTCCTTCAGTGGATGGAAGTTAAACTGAATAAAAAGCAAATTATATGTGGTTAACGTTGGTTTCTTTTATTTATCGATCTATCTGAAAACATATTGCTATGGAACGATTGTCATTCATTGAACCATTCTTCGTGGATTACTAACACATGCACGTTTTAATAGAATGTTTCGTAATGAAAGGTATAATTATTAGACCAATCAATATTCGTTGATTTTGTTGAGTCATGAGTAAAGGGTGTCCATAAAATCCAAGGAAATTGACCCCCTCCCCACGAAACAAATCGATTCCACAATAATATCTGTCATATGAGATTTGATGATCTAATAGATCAAATATAGTTTCATAATAATACTAGAGGAACACACTGTCTTAAAATATACTGAAGAAACCTTGGCATCTATCATATTGAACGTCACGGTCAATGGATTAACAAGGTTTTGCGCAAGAAAAAAAGCATCAGTTCTTTTTAACGTATTTTATCTGATATTTATCACTCACCATTTCAACGTCTCAGTTATACATTCTGACAATAAAGGCCATTCTAATTTTTTTCTATGTTTAGCGTCCTCGTGCGCCTAGGTTTTTGACACCCAATATCAGAAAAAAAAATCAGGAGTCCTGAAACTGATTATTCTGGTCAAAATCTTTGAATTCTGACAATTACTCTAAATATTTGTCTACAATACAGTATGTCATGTTAAGTAAACTTTAAGCATTTAATATCCTGATTTTGCTTAAGAATATCTTTCTATGAGAAAAATAGATTAATGAAATCAATTCCTTTGATTGACCTCATTTTTATGATTAGAAATTCTTTGTTTTATTTTTTGGCTTGTGTGGTTTTTTGCGAATAGATAGGTAGGTTTTTGAAAGATGGGTGGACGCTAAACAGGGAAAAAAAACTTGGAATGGCCTAATTCATTTAAACACTAATTATTCACAAGACTTTTCACGAAATAGAAAGATACGTTTGAAGTGTAGATTCGATTATCATTTTCTAAATAAATATACTTTACAGTGGTTCTTTTGTTAAGCCCCTTTCTTTCAAACCATGCAGAAAAAAACTATATACCCCCCGAATCTTCGATTGGGTGGCATAACAACATATTTATCAAAGAAGTATATTTGCTAAAACTTCTTGAAACAGTGAGGAAAGTTATATAAAATTATCTCATGCCTGTCATTTGTTGAATTATTCTGGGGTTGATCTCGAATATCTGTCTAAAAAACTGTTTATGGATTAATGGGGTTTAACAATACAAAGATAATCTTATCGACAGATATAAACAGTCATGTAATAGTATTTTTTCATTAGGCATTACTGTAAGATATTTCGTCTTTATATTCTTTTATAGTTTACCACATTTAATCAAAGTATGCTATAGTAATTCGAAGTATAAAAGTTTTTACCATCGTACATTTTTTTGATATAGTAAATCAAAGTATTTTCACGGTGATTTTCAAATTGTTACATTTCATTTATCTGAATTCTATTTTTTTTTTTAATTGAAAGGAAATATTACTTTCATTTATCTTCTAAAGTTATCATCATTGATATGGTGTTTTGGAGATGTTTCTAAATGCTCTAAATTACAAAAAAAAATCTATAGAACAAAGTTTCATAGTGTATCAAAGTGCCATAGTTAAGTTTCAATGTATTAGATGAGAGGATGTCGAACATTAATCATTCTCAAACATTCGGGCATCAACTGCACAATACAACTTATAAGCAAAGCGAATGCGAACCTCTAAAAAGATCAGATGTGGGATCAGGTGTCATGAAGGATTAAGTATACCCTGTCAACTGGTCACACCCACCATGTGCCCCTTGTCATGATATTAAACAGATAAATCCGTGGACAATTTAGCATAAAAATAATGGCCTATCAATTTGTATAAAATACTAATTCAGTACTCGACCTAATGACAGATTGCACTCGCAAACAAGGTAATTATAACGGCCATAGAAATTTGCAAAAATATTGACTTTAAACGAGATTGTTGATGCCATTGTATCATCAAATTATTCACCAGTAGCCTTCCTTTTTAGACATTGTTCGAACGTAGAACATGCTCTTGCGTATCGATTCAACTGAGAGACCCATTAATGCAGATGATAATGCTAAATTGCTCTTTACATAAAAAGGGCAGTTAAAGATAGAAAAGTGTAAATCATCACGTTTGTCTTAAAGATTAATTTTTAGCATGTCATCAATGCCTTTCTCTAGTGAATCACATATTATGAAACAGATGTTCCAGTATTAAGTATCATATTAAATCAAAATATTTACATTTGCAAATGTTTTTCTTTATATAACACTATTGAAAGCAATGTATATCTATATCCGTATAAACACGGGTTCTCCACGTCATAAACGTTCGACGTAATTTCTCAGTGACGTCATAAAGGGTCGACGCGCAATCAATGGATTTGACACGTACCGTTGAGTTTGAAAAATTAAACACTTCACACGTTATAATCAGGCAAATATAAAATATTAATAAGTCACAAATGTAAATTTAAGTAATAAAGTATCATTTTTAAACATCTATCGGGATATAAATACGGGTTGGTACGAAATATAATTACGGTACTTCGGGCTTTATGAAATTTGATCTCGTGACCAACCCGTATTTATATCCCGATAGATGTTTAAAAATGATACCTTATTTTTAAATATCAAAGTAAGGTCTCAAAGTGTTTACGTATGTACTATAGTAAGCTATAGTTATCTGTAGTTTATTGTTATTGTATTCTCATAAGTCTATCTATTTAACGGTATTTTAATATCGAAAATTATTGAAAAAGTATATGAGGACTCTAATATCATAATCTTTTTGATGGGAAAAGTTTTGGGTAGTTGGAAAATGGCGCTGAGTTTGATTATGATAAAAAATGTAGATTTTTCTTCATTTGAAAGAGTTGACCAATTACTTCTTTCCTTCAGAGTACGTTGACTGTAGCCTTATAAGGAGATTTTTAAAATTAAGATAAAACATACCTTAATGATCATCTTAGATAGAAAAACTAAATGAGCTAAATGAAACTATTCCCCAGTTTCATATTTGGTTTTTTTTTTTTTATCATACAATCTATAAAAGTCAATTTACAAATAAAGTTACGTTTCTTATGTTGATGAAATATATGGAGATAATTCAAGCTCAAGGTCAATTTAACCAATACAAATCAGGAGCAGAGTGATATAATGGTTCAACTAATGAACAAAAAAGAGTAATTGTAAATTATCCATTTCATCATTATTTGTACTCTTGTGTTGAAGACCTTTTTTGCATCTCTGTGAATCTTTCAGCTGCCAGACTAAATAACTTGAGTGTAGGCATTTGTTTTGAGAGAGTTTTACTGAAATTAATAAAATATTACGCTTAAACGTGTTAGCAATATGCATTATTTGTTTCCTGTATGTGGCCAAAAGATTTTTTTTTCTTGTTCACGGTTTTAAAGTTATTGTCAGCCTAAATATGTTTATTTTAAAAATGTGTAATTTAAAGAAACTTTAAGAAGGAAGGCGCCTTTACAAGATTTTAAAATCCACAGAAACTTGAAAGAGGAAAAATCCAACTGATGGAAAACCAAATTTATTCGATTAGAAAGATTGATTTGATTGATTGTATGTTTTTAACGTCCCATTCGAAAATTTTTCACTCATATAGAGACGTCACCATATACCGGTGAATTCAAAAGGCTTCAAATTTGGACCTTTACTCGGCACTCTGGGCCATTGAGCAGTGAAGTGTCTTTATCGTGCCAACGCCTATCGTGACACGGGGCCTTGGTTTTTAAGGTCCGCAACTTTCACTTCAAAGCGCCGAGTGCTTGGCGAAGGAACAATTGTTACCTTTTTTTTATCGTCTTAGGTTATTACGTGATTCGAACACACGACCTTCCGATCACAGAGCGAGCGCTCTACCGACTGAGCTATGTATCGTGAAGATTTTCCAGGGATTATTAAGACAACATTTAATTGCTCTGAAAGTTGATCTCAAACTTAAAAGACGTTACTGGTAATAAAATAGCAAAATGTCAGTCAGTTTATAGTGTCAACCGTCGACCAGTAACTCAATAAAAAGACAAAATAGAAGACATGCAGACGATCCAATCCGATACGACAGCCCTTGTAAATCCCGAATGTAAAAATTAATAGATCATTTGAAAATTAAAGACTTTTAATAAATACCAACTATTCTTGAAACCGATTTTCTTGAGATGGTATTAAATATCTCTACATGCACACACACATTAAATGTGTGTGTGCAAGGTTTAGCCTCATTTTATGCGTACATCAGTACACCCCTCGCTTCTCTAATTTACTCGTATGCTTGTATTTTTGTGTCTCTTATCGTTTATACCATTAATGGTTTGGGCTGATTTATGACCTATTCCCAAGGTTCTTTTTTATTCTCATTGACCATGGCTTTATTGTATTATTTTTGTGTATACAGAATTATTAGACAATTTAGATGCTTAGAGATAGATTATCATAAACACTTGAAACATTTATTGTCAGTCATGTCATAATCAGTATTGTTGTTGCTTTATTGAAATATGGTATACGGTATGGTTGCTGATGCAGTTGAGATGAAACAATTTTCAGTGAATGGAAATTAAATTGAATACAAATGGTTTGTGTGACCAAATTACATTATCATTTTTTAAATTTTCAAATTATATTATGTTTTCGATAAATAAGTGACGAAAAAATGATATGCATATTCAGTATCATGCAAGGGAAATATCAAGAGCTTTATGTAAAATGATATAATTACGATCTGCCAGGAGGAGGTCCATTTACTTGACATGTAAGTTTTAACGACTTGTGTATTTCTGCGGAACTGTACTTTTGTTCAACCTATGTATATGTTAACAACTTGCATTGCGTTTTCAATGGTGATGTAAATTTTCCCAAATGATTTTTGAAAATGTCCAAAAATCTTTTTTTAAGAATTGGAACCAGATTTAATAATTGTATTGGGTTGTTTCCAACATGATACAAAATGTTGATTTGCAGT